AATTGACACACACGGCTGGACAAGTTCACCAGTTTAAAGTCGCTCTGAGAGCTATGGAAAGGGCTATGCTTGGAGTATCCCTGAAGGACCGCATCAGAAATGATGTAATCCGACAGAGAACCAAAGTCACCGACATAGCCCACCGAATTAGCAAACTGAAGTGGCAGTGGGCTGGTCACATTAGCCGCAGAACTGACGGCCGTTGGAGCCGGAAAGTTCTTGAGTGGAGACTACGATTCGGTAAGCGTAGTGTAAGACGCCCTGAGACAAGATGGGATGATGACATTCGTAGACTGGCTTTAGTGGGCTGGATGAGAGTGGCAGAAAATCGGGAGCAGTGGCGTGCATTAGGGGAGACCTATGTCCAGCAGTGGACGATCATGGGTTGATGATGATGTAATGAGAAATAACTCTAGTATCCAAATACAGATCTACAATTTTATTTTTTCTTTATATTTTCTGTCCTCATTTCCGAATTCCCCTCGAAACGGCGTACCCGTCTGGGAAAGTTTCGTTTTGGTGTTTCTGTTGCCTAATAAGTTGGACAGGACATCACGGGTAGGGGATTAAGTTCAAGTCAATAAAATATGCAAATCGTCTCAAGATGTTTTAACACGATCCTTTTGTTTCTTTAGATATGGCAGTCTTTTGTTTTATTCATTAAAATATCGAGATATTTCAGTACTTTTTTTTAAATAAACTCTTTGTATTAAATACACGTTTGAGTAAATTGACAACTCAGCTTAGGATTCCCGCTGCCGCTCCCTAATGTAACCGAAGCTGAACATCGCTCTATCATTCTAAAACGATCTCTATTGTATAGTGTTAAGGTGCAGGTGTATTCAGGGACGGCGGATCCTGTTTGATCGCTATTAACATCCGCTTTAAGCCGTTGTCGGTGCAAACTTAATCTACTTTGACAGCAAATTGGCTCAGTAGATGGAAGCTTGACGTGTGTTGTTTCTTTTTGCTTAAATTATTGTGATCGACAGTTCTAGAATTAGAAATGGAAAGGGAAAAGTAATTGATATTTTTATGACATACTAGTGGCCCGCCCTCGCTTCGGTGTAGAGCTGAAGTGTAGACTACAGTTTTTGTTCTCAGGCTTGTATTATTCACAATGACATTCATCTATGATTCTTCTTATACCTGCATGCAAGGCTCAGCCCGATCGGTTTAAAATTGACAAAGTTTCATACAAACTTTCGTTCCCTATGTTATCCCCTTGGGGGTAGAATTGATCAAAATCCTTTCTTAGCGGATGCCTACGTCATAACATCTACCTGCATGCCAAATTTCAGCCCGATCCGTCCAGTGGTTTGGGCTGTGCGTTGATAGATCACTATGTCAGTCAGTCAGTCACCTTTGAGTTTTATATATATAGATGACATATTTCAGATAATTACTTTCTTTGATACTACTACTACTCTAAATCCTGCTCTTCCTACTTAATATTTTAAATGTGAAAGGTTGTATGTTTGTTACTCAATCACGTAAAAATTTCTAAACAGATTTGGATGAAATTTGATACGCATATAGCTAATGACCTGGATAGAGACATAGGATACTGTTTAACTCGGAAAAATGTCAGGTTTCTGTGGGGTTCTGAAAAAAACTAAAGTTAACGTGGATGAAGTCGCAGGCGGCCGCTAGTAATAAATAAACCTAAATTTTTAACACAAACCCCCTGATTGACAAGCTTGGACTAGTTACGCCGTGGTTTGTTCATGTCACTCAAATGCCATTTGTCATTCTATAGACAGAGACAAAACATGAAGTAACTAAACTTATTGAATTTAGCTATTTATTGAAGCTAGTTATTAATATTTTTAAGGTGCTTTGGGGTAAGATATTAAATCCGGGCATACTAAGGATGATCAGTTTTAGTGTTCCAAATGAATACCTATAATTCCTACTGAACGCACTAAATTATTGAGTGAGGCTCTGACGCGTGCATTGCGCACAATCAACAGAATTAATGAAAAGATGGACTTATTCGTTTGTGCTCTGAGCGAATTTACAAAACTAGCTGAGTGGATTATCGGTTTCAATTAATTATTTTTTCCAATGTGTTTGTTAATGTGTATTATAATGTATTTCTTAAATGGATGTATCTATTGCCTTGGGTATATACCTGTAATAATAGATATAAGTATTTGATATAAATAAATAAATAAACCATGGGTAGTCTTCGTTTATTAATAAGGGGGTAAGAATATAATCTCTGAATAAGGTCTTACAGTAAGTATACAGTTTTTTCCTATGTATTTGCTCTATACTGATTGAGTCACGCATTATTTGTATTTATACTGTATGACACAGCAATCAAAATGCAGGTAAACAATTAATGTATATTTAATCATTATAAAATGAAAGGTGGCTTCATGAATCATCTCTGGAGTAATTTTTGAACTTGATGACTCTGTAAATAATAAAACAGGGAGAAAAAAACAGCCCTTGCTGAGTTTCTTGTCGGCTCTTCTCAGTACAAAGTCTCCCGTCGTAGATTTACGAACCGATGGTGTAGCTTCTAGACATTCATGAGTGCTTGTAACAGCTTGAACTGAATAAATGATTTTGATTATGTTTGAATATTATGATTATGATTATATGAGTAGAGTCTGTACGGAAAGCGAATGGGCGTGGCGAAAGCGCCATTGGTTCAAAAAACATCAAAATTTCTGTCGCTTCAGCGTTGTGAATTTTTATTGAAAAATCCCAAAAAATTGAGTTGCTTAGGGGCCAAAAAAGTACTTAAATCTTCTTGAAACATAAACAGATAGACGCAGAACAAAAATCTGATTAAACTGATTATATACAACTTATTTTCGATCAAAGTGGCGTTTAAGTGATTATGCTTTCCAATGTCAATATGGAGTTATATAAAACAGGTACCTGAAAAATGAAAACATACTTAGAATTCTTAACCGACTTCCAAAAACGGATGATGTTCTCAATTCGTCTGAATATTCGCCGAACGACAACAGCTCTACCGATTCAGAAAATTCACTTTATTTGTTTGAAAGGCTATTATTAAATATATTCTATAATCTTCATTGATAGGTTTTACTGTCTGCTCCGAAAAGTTATTAAATTAAATATACTATCGGTTACTAACTTTCCAGAGAAAAAAGTAAAAATTAAATTAATTAATTAATTAGGGAAAATATTAAAGTAAGATACTAACGGTTACTATTTTTTTTTCTATATGGCTTCGCACGGTTTGTGCATTTAGCCAATGTCAAGTGTACAATGTTTACATATTCTATAGCACTCGTGGTCAAAATACTAGTCAAAGTAAGTGGCAATCAAGCCAATCCCCCTTTCCCTATGTTTTCTAAATGTGTGGGGATTTACTGAAACCTCCCCAAGGACTTCTTCGACGTCGAAAGACACTTTCCGCTATTTTGTTTCACTTGCCAACACTTGTGCATGTTTCCGAACACTTAGTGGTTAATAATCCACCATTATCTCTTATCTATTAGACAAGTCCGTCCGTCCGTCCGTCTGTGGTGCAGTTTCAGCGGCCATACCGTAAGAGATAGATAAAGAGAATGTTTAAGTTATAAGTTAAGAATAGTCTGATAAGACTACAAACCGGATTTGAGTAACGTAGCACTTCCGGTTTTCGAGAAATCACGAATTTCAAACGAAACCACACAAAATCTCCGAAGTTCTCAATTAATTAAATACATTTTTTTTAAATCAGATTTTGGTGAACATTTGGTTCACTGGTTTGCTAGTTAGACACTAACATCCGCCACAACACAATTTTTAACAAGAAAAACAAAACTGCTAAAGTTACGCTTCCCGATCCCGCCAAAAAGTCCCCGTTTACTATTTTCTCTCATTCCCAGTCCAGTGTGACATTAAAAAGCAGAACCGTTTATAAATATCGGTCAACTTGTCACAATCAGGCGAAGCTTAAGCTTGTTTCCCAACCTTTTCACATAAAAACAAATGTAAAACACCCGAGAGATAATTAGCTGAGCACGTGTTCCAAAAATTACATATAATGACGGTACAACCCGCACTCGTGGGAAACAATAAAAGAAGTTATTTTTGATTGACCCAAACTGGAGAGTGCTTTTTGTTTTCATTTAAAAAAAGTACAATACTGAATATCTGATATGTAATCTAAATATTTGAGCAAAATTCTTAAAGTTATAATTTCTATTATTTTAAAGCATGTAACTGCTTGATGTTTAAATCTAAAGAAAATATAACTAGAAAAAATTCCACGCCGACCAGGCAGCAGACGGGACTCGAACCCGCACCCTTCGCAATCCGGGCGAATGCACTGACCATTTATGCTACCGCTCACGGACCGCGTCGAAATTCTTCTAGCCATTCTTAAGCTGCAAGGCAGTGCCATCTCTTCGCATTATAGGTAACCCACAATGTCAAATGAATAGTTTTACAAGTATTAAACATTTGAAAGAAAGAAAGCTGCCTGGTCCGCGTGGAATTTTTTCTAGTTATATTTTCTTAACATTCTTAAATCTAAAACACGTTATAGAATACCTGAATATAGAAATACTAAAAGAACGTGGTCACCATGCCACGAAAACTCGGACTATTTAGTACCCCTAGCACGAACCATTATCGAATTCGAATAGTTTGCTAGTGCTAAATGTCAATGTCAAATTTTGTATGGAAACTTGAACAGCAGCGCTACAAAGTACGCAACGAGAACTAAAAATCAGTACACATTTGACAATGACATTTCGGTCTCGCAAACTTTACGAAGTTAAAACTTTTAAAATGTACGTACATTGATTGACACGTTCATTACAGTTGAGACTTCATACGGGAGTTCATTAATATTATAATATCTAATATCGCATTAATATTCTAATATCTAATATCGCAAGTGTCTATTGGCTATTTGGCCGTTTACAATAACACGCAGACTGCATGCTTATATACCACCCATTTTAAAACAAATCCACGAACTTACTATTTTTTTTTAAGTACGCTGATTGATATGTTTATTCCAGTCGAGACCTCATGCGGTGGTTCCGTGCAGAACAACCTGACCTACTTCCTGTCGCCGGGGTTCCCGGAGCTGTGGACCGGCTCACGGGACTGCAACATCACCATAGAGAAGACCCACGCTGGGATCACTCAGCTCAAGATCGACTTCGTGCACTTCACTATTGTAAGACACCAGCTGATCTTCAACTATATATTCTCTTCACTAAGGCACCTCGCGCACTAGACGGCCACGACCACCGTCAGTGATCGCAACGACCAGATTAACAAAAGAAGTCATAAGAACGTCGCGCTTGGCCGCAACGGTCAGCTATAGTTAATTTGGTCGTTGCGGCCGCTGGTCGTGTCCCTGGTCTCCTTGTGCGCGAGGTGCCTAAGACACCTAGTACACTAGACGGCAACGAGTCACCCACTCCCGCGCAGGGCTGTAACGGCTAGATTTACTGAAATAACGATACGAACGTACGAACAGCATTAATCTCCTTCAAACTTGCCCGACGTCTAAACGGTATCAGTTAGCTTACACTCGCGTTTTATTAAGCTCGGCCAACTTGTATTGGTGGCTACAGTTTTCGTCGTTCTAGTAACGACATAGTTTCAGTGAATAAAGTATTAATAAATATTAACCTCGATGGCGCGGGTGGTTAGCGCGTTCGGCTGAGATCGTTGAAGTTAAGCAACTTTCGCAGTGGTCGGTCATTGGATGGGTGACCAAAAATTTACTATCTCGAGCTTCTCCGTGCTTCGGAAGGCACGTTAAGCCGTTGGTCCCGGATGCATCTGCAGTCGCCAGCACCCGCCAATCCGCATTGGGCCATTCCATCCAAAGGGAAAGCCTGTGCCCCAGCAATGGGGACATTAATAGGCTGTTGATGAAGTATCAACCTCCAAGTGCTCTAAAGAAAATTATGATGCGGTGTATTATTCTCCGTTCAAAATTGGGGAAGTCTTTTTATGGTGGACTAGTGGCCCGCCCTCGCTTCGCTTCGGTGTAGAGCTGTAGTGTAAACTATAGCTTTTGTTCTCAGGCTTGTGCTATAAACAATGACTTTATTTATATAATTACACGTGTTATTGTGAGTCAACCATAAAAGATAGACATATGCTGTTGAGGGATATTTTTTAGACAATTTTATGTAGAATATTTTCGCCATACATGATTTCTATGTAACTTTAACCATTAAGGCTGCACACGCGACGGAAGCTTAAAAAATGGAGTAACTTCTCCCGTTTTCCCAACATTTCCCTTCACTACTCTGCTCCTATTGATTGTAGCGTGATGAAAAGTATACTATAACCTGCTCATGAGTATGAAGAATAATTGTACCAAGTTTCGTTAAAATCCGTCGAGTAGTTTTTGTTTCTATAAGGAACATACACACAGACAGACACACAAAAATTTTACTGATTGCATTTTTGGCATCAGTATCGATCACTAATCACCCCCTGATAGTTATTTTGAAAATATATTTCATGTACAGAATTGACCTCTCTACAGAATTATTATAAGTATAGATTATAGGTGTATATACAATTTCAGTAAAAAAATCCATCTCTTAAAATTTATAGTCCATTTTAATTAATAGTTCACACTTGTTTCATAATAAGTTTAATAGAAGAAACGTCATCTGTCAAATCAAACGAAGCAATCAGTTTGATTGCATCTGGCGACGCGTCCATTTACGCTTATCTCGTTATGTTTCCGGGCCCACTAACTGGGATCAAAAGCTGTGGCTTGTGTCTACACTAATTGAGTGGTTTCTGCTATCTATCTTTATATATATAATTCTTCTGTGAGTGTGTATGTCACTGAACTTCTCTTAAACTACTGGACCGATTTTGATGAAATTTTTTGTGTGTGTTCAAGGGGATCGGAGAATGGTTTAGATTCACGAAGACGTGTAGACAGGACAACGTCTGTCGGGTCCGCTAGTATATATATAAAACTCAAAGGTGACTGACTGACTGACATAGTGATCTATCAACGCACAGCCCAAACCACTGGACGGATCGGGCTGAAATTTGGCATGCAGGTAGATATTATGACGTAGGCATCCGCTAAGAAAGGATTTTGATCAATTCTACCCCCAAGGAGATCAAATAGGGAGTGAAAGTGTGTATGAAACTTTGTCAATTTTAAACCGATCGGGCTGAGACTTTGCATGCAGGTATAAAAAGAAACATAGATAAATGTCATTGTGTATAATACAAGCCTGAGAAGCCTTTGTTACTCGAAAAGAATACAGCATTTCTGATGGTGAAAGAATTTTCGAAATTAGTCCAGCAGTTTTTGAATTTAGTCTTTACAAATATGACGCAATATAGAAGGCGAGGAAAGCTACGCTGTGATAAATGAATAAATATTTCCAACACTCACACCAATTAGCCTATCTCCAAAGTAAGCACTGTAAGGCTTGTGTTATGGGTTGCTAGGGTAACGAATAGCATACATATACTGTACATATATAAGTATATACAGAAATACATATTAAACATCCATGACTGGAGTACAAATGCTCGTATTCATCAGACAAACATCTGCCTCCACCGGGATTCGAACCCGACCTCTCGAGTCGGCGACACCATGAAACCCGGCGTATAAACCACTTGGCCACGGAGGTCGTGATATTAGTATAGAGACTATTAATTTTAGCCACTTACCTTGGCGGAACATCAAAGGCCATTTTTTGTCCATTGACAAAAGACTCTCCGTAAGGTACTGTGAATATAAAAGGTAGTAGTTACTTATAGATATGTATACGTTGTATAGCAGTACCCTTAGTACGAGTATGAGCTCACAAAAACCGTCATAGTTTTCGTAATTGTAAATTATGTTTCTATGTCCATTTTGGTGTAAAGTAACCAAATATACTTAAAATTAAGAAGCCAAAAACGATTTGATGATAGAATTTAAACCAGGGCTTGTTTACCGGTTAATTTTCAAACCTATATCAGTGTCAAGTACATTAGGAGCGTTTTATTTAGGTTTGGCTCTACCTTAACCTGAAAAAAACCACTTTTCCTAAAAAGCGAAATCAAATAGGTTTTGAATCAATTTAGCAGTTTTTAAAAGGTTTCATTTCGCTCTTATTGACGCCATCGATAATAAATAAATAAGTTGACTCACTAGACGCTAGCAAACGTGTTAATAAATGCATTAATCTCTGAGCATTAATAAGTTGTGACTTGATTAGTTCAAACAAAACAATCTTCAAGCGATGACGACTCGTGCACGTGTCGCTCTGGATTAAACCGGTTTTAGGTACCGCTTTCATTTCGGACGCGCTCCGAACGAAACCTTTACTAAAAACCGGTATTAACCTTTATTTACTGGTATTTTCGAAAATGGTTTCAAGCCCTGATTTAAACACTGTTTATTTGTATTGAAACGAAAACAATAAAATCAAGTACCCTTAGTACGAGTGCGAGCTCACGGAAACTATCATAGTTTTCGTAATTGTAAAACTCGTACTAAGGGTACTGATTATGTCAACTCGAGCCGTTCAGTATTCTTTCTATGAAACTCACTACTGTAACATAGCTGTAATCGCTTTGACACAAGCTCGAGTCCAGAGCAGAAGCGATTGAATAAAATGGTGAAATGTATGAAACGAATGAAATAATTGAAATGGATGAAATGACTTATTCAAAGCTCTCTTGAATCCTCCAATATTTTTTCCTACGATAGATTAATTAACGATTCTGATAAGTGTTCGTTGTAGTAAAGAGTTTCATACAAAGACTAGCGGCCCGCCCTCGCTTCGCTTCGGTGTAGAGCTGAAGTGTAGACTACAGTTTTTGTTCTCAGACTTGTATTATACACAATGACATTCATCTATGATTCTTCTTATACCTTACCTGCATGCAAAGTCTCATCCCGATCGGTTTAAAATTGACAAAGTTTCATACAAACTCTCATTCCCTATTTTATCCCCTTGGGGGTAGAATTGATCAAAATCCTTTCTTAGCGGATGCCTACATCATAACATCTACCTGCATGCCAAATTTCAGCCCGATCCGTCCAGTGGTTTGGGCTGTGCGTTGATAGATCACTATGTCAGTCAGTCACCTTTGAGTTTTATATACATATATAGAGATATTGAACGGCTCGAGTTGATACGTCGACGATCCCTTTCCGAGTTGATATGTCTCCTACGATCATAACGTTTGGTTTCAGGGGCAGCCGAACCGCACGACCGGCGAGTGCGACGAAGATGTAATGACTATCGGCGAAGGAGGCAACAAATTCGTGTTGTGCGGCCAAAATCACGGACAACATAGTAAGACTACTGTTTAGCTTATGATGATTTACTACAATGCGATTCAAATTTTATGGTGGTTGTGAACACAAAACACAGAAAGAGGTTAGAAGGGTGATCTTAGACTTCGACCTAATAGATAATAGCCAATCAAACGACGCAACATCAAACAATCGAACCAATCATCGCTCACACCCGAGAGCAACGACACAATCAGAACCAAGTTTTGTTCAATTTATGACTGTGGCGCGCCTGCTTCGCCCAGAAGTCCCTTATAACCCCTTTTTGTGTTCTGTGGTTGTGAAGTTAGCAATGAGCACAACGATGCGCAGGTTTCAGTTCAGTGTTAAGTTTGGCATTTGGCTCACCGCCGACAATGAACGAGAAGCGAATAGAGCTAGAAACTAGAAAGTGGAAATTTCAACTGTCTGGCTTGATCGTGATTTTTAGCCTGGCGTCAAACTCAATGGGGAAAAACGGGACCCTATTACTAAGACTCCACTCTTAGTAATAGGGTCCTGTTTCTACCTTTTGGGTACGGTATCCAAAAAAATATGGAAGAAATCGGTAAAGGGTAGAAACGGGACCCTATTACTAAGACTCCACTCTTAGTTAAAGGGTCCCGTTTCTACCCTTTGGGTACGGTACCCAAAAAAAGATGGATGAAATCGGTAAAGCGTTGTCAAGGGAAGAGGAATTCATTTTTATGTATGATTAGTGACCCGGCCACGCCTCGCTTAGGTGAGGAGTATGCTTTTGTTCTTGGTGCCCAAGAACATAATGTAAACATTCCTCTGGATATTTATTGCTGAAAACTACATTCAAATCTTTTGCGTAATTTAAAAGATTTAAGCGTATAGACAGCGGGAGGGAATTAGTCTTACACTTAATCTTAGTAGTACGGCGAGCTGTTTTCGCAACTCGACACCATGTGCCTATTTTGCGTGAGGAATTGCATCAGTCCTGCCATCCCAGCTCGTCCAGAAAGCCCAGTAGTCCCCGAACTGCAGGCTTCTACTAGTGTCCGTGGATTTCCCAGTAGAGAAGTTAAATGGAATGCTCTGCCCGCTCACGTGTTCCCTCCCTCTTACAACCTGGGATCCTTTAAAAGAGGCGTGAAGAAACAACATGCAGGCCGGCAGGGTGAGGATGGTTGGTGTGGCAGGTAGAACTGCTGTATCAGCTATCTTCGCGTCTGGACTTCACCTTCACTTAACATCAGGTGGGGTGGAGTCATTTGTCGGACCTATCTATAAAAAAAAGTCCTTCGCCTTGCAACACCTCTACACTCCAGGAGAAAATGAGTGCTCGTTTCTTTCTCCAAGTTCAAGAAGTCTGTTGAAATATCCGTGACCCGTGATTATACCGACAATTTGTTTCAAGGCTTGTCTAAGCAGTCTAATTAACTTACGTGGTAACCGCAGGTTTATCTTACGAACGGCAGCGGGAGGGACTATGTTTTATATTAGGCAAAGAAGATTGAGGAGCTCGATGGCGCCGGTGGTTAGCGCATTTGTTCTGCAACTTTAAGTTAATGCAATCGTTAGCCCACCAATCCGCACTGTTCCCGCGTGGTGGGTCATGGCCCAGTCTCTATACCATCCATAGGAAAGGTCTGTGCTCCTGCAGAGGGGAAATTAAAGGCTGATGGTGATGAATGAAGATTGTCGTGAGGAAAGCTTTCGAAATATTAAAGGTTTCCAGTCTCCGAGAGTCCGAGTTAGACTGACAGTAACACATGAGCGACCAATATGTCAGTTTCGAGAGAATGCATTCGTTGGCCGAAAGTACTTCGTTATACTAATGGGCCGAACGGGGAGGTCATATCCTGTATCAAAGGAGACGTTTGAAGAGGGTCAAACGCCCTTATAAATTAACGAAATCACTCGCGAACCCATTGCGTTAATGGTACCGTGAGCTCTCGCCAGTCTTACAGTTCTTTTGTAAGGAGTTAATAAAGGTGTAAATACTAGTACAGTGGATCCCCGGTAGTCCGACAAACATTTTTCAAGGGCAGTGTCGAACTATCGAATTTGTCGGATTATAGAGTACTGCCTAAGACTAGGGCTGCCATCCGTCCGGGTTTTCCCGGATTTGTCCTAGTTTACGGGGCGTCCGGGGAGCGTCCGGGCGGGGTTTTATATGTAGTCCGGGTTTAAAAATTTACGACAACGCATGAATTGCCCTTGGTGCTGCAAGTTTCGCATGGGCAGCAGTGACCACTTATTATGAGGTAGACTGCTAGCTCTTTTGCCTAGATCATCATAAAAAAGTTGATTTGTGATATTTTTAACTGTTTTTATTGGTCTGTCTGGGTTCTGGGCTCCAAAATCCGGGGTTATCACGCGTCTTATCCTGGTTGCTACATTTAAGAGATGGCAGCTCTACCTAAGACCACCTATAGTCCGATTTTTTTTACAAAAGAGTACCTTGTAATGCGACAAATTACAGATCCAATGATAAGATTACAAATTATACTTTGTTATGTATGTCAAATTTTGTAAATTAAACAACACAATAGAAAGATTACGTTTTATTATAAAAGTTACGTCATTATATAGCTATAGATTTTACAAAAAAATATAAAAAACAATACCCTACGCGTCGAGCACAATTAGGGTTGCCACCCGTACTTTATTATAAAGTATTGTACGTTATTTCGGGTAATTGTACTCTATACTTTATGCCAACAATAAAGTACGCGAAAATACTTTATTTAATGTGATTTGATTACTTGGGAATTAATTTTACATATAATATAAATAAAGAGGATAGGAAGATTTTTTGCGTGAAACGGAACAACAGTATGTATAATATGTCGCCCTTAGCCCATTCCTGCAACATTGTCGCGGCTGTATGGCTTTGTACAATGGTCTTACCCATTGCGGATAAGAACTACAGATTTTTAGTAGCCACAAATTATTTATTAAATATTGCTATAAGCACCGTAAAATATATTTTAAGCTTACTAATAAAGTGGATTAAAATGTACTTTATTTTGGACACAATGTACTTTTTTTTCTACCTTTCATATCCAATGTACTTTATTTGGACTTAAAAAAGGTGGCAACCCTAAGCACAATAGTGATGGTGCGTACAAGTTGTAACTTGTTCAATCGTGAATTAGCGAATACTTGTATGTAATAGACGATGTCGGATTATAGGGGGTGCCGCATTAGCCAGGGGCCGGATTACCGGGGCTCCACTGTACTAGCACGACGCGGAGCTATAACTGTGATCAAAGTTTTTTTCATTTGTTAACCGAGCCATCTATGCCCGAACGTAATCAATGTGCAATGCCACTGTTTTTAGTTCTACCCCCGACTTCAATGTATCTCTGTATTTAACTAAATTGTTATTTAAAATATTTTATGTTCTCATGGTAAGTGAATTTTGTATTTTTCTATGAGAATATAGATCTAAAACCGTATTATAAATTGTTTATTTACCATGACTGTGTGTAACTTTTAAAGACTATGACGTACGAAAAACTTTTAAGTTTGCGAAATAGAGCTTTCCCTAAGATATTTTTGTATTAGATGGATTTATTAGGAACATCAGTCCCACAACATACACTTTTTATCGCTCTCAATTGTCATAGTACTACTGGATTGTGGAAAATTATCGCCTTTAAGGCAACAAGTTGAGTTCAAGATTCGCTTTAAAGAATTCCGCTATAATACTTATTTCTTACTACTTTTTTCATTAGTATTTCCACCATTTCCCGCCAAGAGCACCTTCCTCTCCGTCTTCATGCGAGGCGCAGATGTCATATGATTATATTCCATTTATATGAAAACGAATCCCTAAACCATTATTCATGCTATAACTTTAACAAAGTGTGATTCTTTATGGTGGTTGGGAAGTCAGCAGCGAGCGCTTATGCACAGGTTTCCATTTCAGTGGCATCCGGCTCGTGCCTACGTCACCATATATTTCGTTCATTACGCCGCGACTTGCGCTAACTTCACAGTCAGTAGTGTACACATCATTACGTTTGAATGACATCGATTTCATGCATCTTCTTTTTATAGACACAACCACTATTAATCGTTGTATTTAAATTCAATCGTACATTTTTATACCTAAACAGTAGGACACGGCATTCCTAAACATTCCTAAACTTTGTTCAAATAGTTTATTTTTATTTTTTTACGTTAAAGTCATAATTTTTATATCATTTACATTTGTAATGGAAAGTGACTTCATGAGTTATCTCATATTGAAGTCATTTTTCAATTTGACGACTCTGTATATACTATAGGGAGAAAAAAACAGTTCTTGCTGTGTTTCTTGCCGGTTCTTCTCAGTACAAGGTCTCCCGCCTTAGATTTGCGAACCGATGGCGTAGCTTTTCGACATTCACAAGTGCTTGTAACAGCCTAGACTAAATAAGTATCGCCGCACACGGGCCATCGACCACAACCACAAAACGCCGCCACCGGCATATTTCTTGTAGTTTTCCTACATTTTATATGGACTCGCCACACGCCCGATACAAAACGCCTCCACACGTCACTCGCGCGATTCCCCACCCCTCTCTTCCTTACCTTAGTCGGCCGCTGTCGCGCGCTTCAGCCACTTTAGTAGCCGCTTCTAGCTTCTCGTGGCGGCGTTTGTGGCTGTGGCGTGTGGCCCCTGTGCGGTGACACTAAAAACGATATTGAATTTGAATTGAATTTTGAGCCATGTTTTCTACTAGGTACTTTTAAGAGGGTTCTTAAAGAAACTTTATTTCTCTTCGCTCAGTCTACTACACCTTACCCAGCGGTACCGAGTCCCGCGAAGCTGATGAGTTGCCCAGCACTAAGAGTACTCTTCTCTCCATCCGCATGCGAGGCGGTGACATGCCGCGCCTGTGGCTCATGCGGCTGGCACAGATGCCGCTAGCGAACTCAGCGCCTCATGACTGCTTGCAATATCATACTGCTGATAATGGTGAGGATTTTCGGTCACCCATCCGATTACAGACCATTGAGATGGGAGCTTAGCTTTTATGATCGAAGAATGAAAACAATTTAACAGAATTTTAGTTAGAAATTGTATCGAACGATTCCACAAAGTGAGGTGTTGTTTTATTTTATTTTTATGGCAAAGAGAATCTTCGACTTAAAAAAAATGACGTCTCTGCCGCTCTGGCGGCTGGAGGCTAACGTAGATGATGCTAGCGAATTCAGCGCATCACGACTGCTTACAGCAGTACTATACTGCTGATAACGGTGAGAATTTTCGGTCACCCATCCGATAATAGACCTTTATGTTGGAAGATTAGTTTTGTTATTCTTTTCCTAACGCCAAGAGAGTGGATCAACTTTGAAATTAATTACATTCTGTGTCCAGTTTTTTTTGGTGAAACTGAATAGTCATAATGTGCGTATTTTAACATATAATTGAGTTACTAATATTTTTAAACAACTTTAGTTGGTATTGCTTGCTTTAAAAGGAATATTGTAAACTAGCAAACCAGTGAACCAAATGTTCACCAAAACCTGATTTAAAAAAAATGTATTTAATTAATTGACAACTTCGGAGATTTTGTGTGGTTTCGTTTGAAATTCGTGATTTCTCGAAAACCGGAAGTGCTACGTTACTCAAATCCGATTTGTAGTTTTATCAGACTATTCTTAACTTATAACTTAAACATTCTCTTTATCTATCTCTTACGGTTTGGCCGCTGAAACAGCACCACAGACAGACGGACGGACGGACAGACTTGTGTAATAGATAAGAGATTATGAAATTCTTAGTAATAAAATGATTACTGCTCGGAATTAGTCACTTGGTTTATAAAATGAAAAATATTTTTCTGGCAATCGTGTACTAACTAATCAAATTAGTAATTTTCACTCTCTTGCTCACATAGCAGTTCTTTCTTATTTTTTTTCTCTTTATTGGATCACCAATAGTTACTACATCAATACATCTTATTTAATAGAATTTTACATTCAGTGATATAATGTGTAACCACTTATAGGCGAACTCAGCATGCATTACATTATGTTTAAGCAGACATTATTTAATTAAAATTTAGTGTGTATGTGTGTGAGTGTGTGTGTGTGTGTGTGTATGTGTGTGTGAGTATGTGTGTGTGAGTATGTGTGTGTGTGAGAGTGACTGTGTGTAATCTGTGTTATTATTTTTACTATTATTATTTCTATAAACGTGTTTCAATTTATTTTCACAAAATATAACTCCTATTCTAATTTTATGAGCAATTATACAACACTCTCACGTGACATTACCCGTATTAAAGCAGCAGGCGTTACCCACAGGCACCATACAGACATTCAATTTCGCCGTGAACGGACGACACATAGCTGGCCAACGGTACAGAGCTTGTGTACGGAAGAACTCGGGCCGTTGTGCCGTGAGGTATACGCCGTGTGATGACAGGTCATTCAGAATCGGGCCGGGGCGAGGCACTCCGGATGTCATCGATCCTGCTGGTGAGTCAAAATATTTAGCACTTCATCTATACTTATAATAAATCTGTAGAGAGGTCAATCGGGATAATGACAATTTTTTTTTCTTCGTTTATCAGGTAGATTATCAAAAAGTATTGGACACGTATTTTTTCTTTTTTCACATAATATAAACATTGCAGAGATATATTGATTTGAGAAGTCGCATGACGTCACGTTTGAGTACACTTATAAGTGAAAATTCACTCAAAAGTGACGTCACGAGCCCCTACGCCCAAACTATGACGCGCTATAACTTTGTCATTTTTTGGTTGATTGCCCAAAGAAAAAATACGTGTCCATTATTTTTTGATCATCTTACTGACGGACTAAATAGAATTTCGTTTACTGTACCCCGTCATCACCCCTATTCTGTACCTGACATATATTTTCAAAATAACTATCAGGGGGTGATTAGTGATCGATACTGATGCCAAAAATGCAATCAGTAAAATTTTTGTCTGTCTGTCTGTCTGTGTGTATGTTCCTTATAGAAACAAAAACTACTCGACGGATTTTAACGAAACTTGGTACAATTATTCTTCATACTCCTGGGCAGGTTATAGTATACTTTTCATCACGCTACAATCAATAGGAGCAGAGTAGTGAATTGAAATGTTGGGAAAACGGGAGAAGTTACTCCATTTTTTAAGCTTCCGTCGCGTGTGCAGCCTTAATGGTTAAAGTTACATAGAAATCATGTATGACGGAAATACTCTACATAAAATTGTCTAAAAAATATCCCGCAACAGCATATGTCTATCTTTTATGGTTGACTCACAATAACACGTGTAACTCCTGATAGCTTAGCAGTTCGGAGCATTCTGATTATATTTGTTTACTCTTACGCTTATAATACTCTCACTCATCCCTAATTTAAAAAAGTTAACATTATTACCTATTTAGGTATAAGAAGAATGTCACTGTGTATAATACAAGCCTGAGAACAAAAACTATAGTCTACACTTCAAGTCTACACCGAAGCGAAGCGAGGGCGGGCTACTAGTAGGAGAATAAAAGTTTTGGAAGGATGGAAAGAAAAAGCACCTGCAAGCATTGTCCATCACGCACTCCACCACCATCACCATCAGCCTATTAATGTCCTAACTGCTGGGGCACGGGCCTTCCCTGTGGATGGAATAGGGAGATTGGGCCATGACCCACCACTCGGGCCCAGTGCGGATTGGTGGGTGCTAACGACTGCAGATGCAGCCGGGACCAACGGCTTAACGTGCCTTCCGAAGCACGGAGGAGCTCGAGATAGTAATTTTTGGTCAGCCATCCAATGACCGACCACTGCGATATTTGCTTAAGTTCAACGTTCGCAGCCGAACGCGCTAACCACTTGCGCCATCGAGCTCCTCACGTGTCCATCACGCACTTATTTATCATTAATAAATAAGGTATTTTTTTTATTTACCTTTTTGAAGTGAAATTTCTTTACGCAAGCTTGACTTGGGGGTAAGCTGGCGAATGCGTTACGAAAAGTGTGTTCGCGGCGAGGCGAACGGGAGTTGAGTGGGGGATTATGCGATATATGTACATACATGTTTATATTGTACACACACACACACACACACATATGTATATTTATATATATATATATACATACAGATGGAGTTAAAGAAGTTTCAATTAAGTTGTGTGGTCATAAGTGCACTCGTTGTTTTTTTATTTAATATTTTTTTTCTTTCTCAGAATATGCCACCTAGTTGTCACTATATTGAATTTCGATTACTTTCATATCTTTAGTAGCACTCCCATGATTAAGACGAATCGATTGACGTATGAATCATCAAAATCGGTGCAGGCGTTTGGTCTCTAGGGGCCATCCATAAATTACGTCACACGTTAAGGGGAGGGAAGGGGTCGACGAAGTGTGACATCGTGTGACGAGGGGGTGGGAGGGGTCCTAAATTTCGTGACGTCACACTTCAAAATCTATTAGGAACTATTACTTTACGAAAACATTAACAACCCAAATGAGAACAAAGTGATGCTATGCCAGTTATAAATAATTTAAAAATGTGGGTCCAATGTCCATAGACATAAATTTATTAAGTTTGTATCTTTAATTTAATTATAATGCTATTAATATTTTTTGTTTTGTTAATTTCTTTAATTAACATAGTCAATCGTTTCTTGTTTGGTAATTTCTTTAGTAAATATAGTCGATTTTTTTTAATTTCTTTTTTTAATAAAGTCAAGGTCAACAATTAATAAAGGTTTTTGTTTTGTTAATTTCTTTTATTAAAATAGTCAATCGTTTTTTGTTTGGTAATTTCTTTAATTAATATAATCGTTAATTTTTGTGTTGTTAATTGTTTGATTTGATGTTAATATTATTTCATAAAAACAATTTAAACGGAAATAACACTGATTTCAGAACCGCTGTCTTCATTCAATAGTTTCTAAATGTTTTGCAAAATATGTGACGTCACACTAGGGAGGGGGGGAGTCTCATAAATGTGACCAACTGTGACAAGGGCGGGGGGAGGGGCAAAGAATCATGAAATTCGTGTGTCGTAATTTATGGATGACCCCCTAGTGTGCCACAAAGGAATATACATACATATATAGACTGTTAAACACTATACCCTGTCTGCGCGTCACGCTTCGCGCTCTTGCATTGCGGAGTCGGGTAAAAATGGTGTAAGGAACCGAAACATGAGTTTCGATTATCTTGGCAATGATACGCTACTCGACACATTTCGTTAACTCATTCATTTTCTTTCTCAGCATATAGCGTCTAATTGTCCCATATTGAATTTCGATTACTTAAATATCTTTAGTAGAGCTCCCATGATTAAGACGAATCGATTGACGTATGAATCATCAAAATCGGTGCAGGCGTTTGGTCTCTAGTGTGCCACAAAGGAACATACATACATATATAGACTGTTAAACACTATACCCTGTCTGCGCGTCACGCTTCGCGCTCTTGCATTGCGGAGTCGGGTAAAAAAGGTGTAAGGAACCGAAACATGAGTTTCGATTATCTTGGCAATGATACGCTACTCGACACATTTCGTCAACTTATTCATTTTCTTTCTATACGTTACTCGACACATTTCGTCAACTTATTCATTTTCTTTCTCAGCATATAGCGTCTAATTGTCCCATATTGAATTTCGATTACTTTCATATCTTTAGGAGCACTCCCATGATTAAGACGAATCGATTGACGTATGAATCATCAAAATCGGTCGCCGCGTTTGGTCTCTAGTGTGCCACAAAGGAACATACATACATATATAGACTGTTAAACACTATACCCTGTGTATTGTTATTGCAAATACATATTAGGGGCAGCCGAAATAATTAATTAAAACGATTGAAAAGGGGCTGCAACTGCAACGAGATTATGATAAATACACAATTACGAATGGGTACTCACGTTTGAAACCTTTGTCGGAAGCTTGTGGTCCGCGTATTCTTCTAGCTAGAGGGGCACATGAACAACACACACAGTCATATAAGAAATTCACAGTTTATTGTTGACGAATTCCAGTTGTTTTGGTATTCCGCACGTAAAGATTATGGTTATACGATGTTAGCGAGTGCGCGGGCGCGGAACGGAGTGACGTAGGTTAGGGATGTGCGATCCGGTTCGTCGATCCGATCTTCAAGAAATCGGATCGGATTGGATACAATAAATAAGACAAATTATTTTAGATTTTTATTTGGTAAACCTATCAATAATCGGCACACCTAATCAGGTACAACTTTTGTTTATAATAATAGAATGTATAAGATTAATGGATCCACCTGCAAAGAATGCCGCCAAGTTAAAATGTAAACAAAGATAAAGTTCGTAACAGAAACCTTAGTAAGTACCTACCCAATTTATTGTAAACAAACCGCGTTTTAATCATACGATCCAAGCGATCCGGTCTTTCAAGTTTTGTAACGATCAGGCAAAAAATCGTATGGCCTCGATCCGATCCGAAAATTACCGGATCGTATGCCTTCCGATCCGATCTTTCAAACGATCGGATCGGATCGGCGCATCCCTAACGTAGGTTCTCTCGTGTGATCAGTGGCTAACTGTCTGCGTTAGGCTAGTAAAAAACCACATTAGCAGATGAATCGTTCTCGTTGCGAACCTACCCACATTTAAAAAATATTAAATAAGTAACCATGATTAAATGATGATGGAACAACCTGTCTGCGCAGTCGCATAAAAAGTAGCAAACAAGCTTTTTATGGCCTGTCTGGTGCTAAGTGGTCACCATAGCTTACAGACGCCTGCGATACCTGAGTATGTTTCCGCCATTGCCTACCGTGACCCCACTCCCTATATTGGTAGAAAGAAAGAAAGAAGAAAGAAAATACATTTATTTTGACACAAACAACGAGACAGCAGATACAAGATTTTGAGAACGAAAAAATACAAGAAAAAGAAAAATTATCGTAAACAAACAACACAAAAAAGTAACACACACTAATCTCTTATCTAATAGACAAGTCCGTCCGTCCGTCCGTGGTGCTGTTTCAGCGGCCAAACCGTAAGAGATAGATAAAGAGAATGTTTAAGTTATAAGTTGAGAATAGTCTGATAAGACTACAAACCGGATGTGAGTAACGTAGCACTTCCGGTTTTCGAGAAATCACGTGATTTCTATTTCAAACGAAACCACACAAAATCTCCGAAGTTCTCAATTAATTAAATACATTTTTTTTTTGGTGAACCTTTGGTTCACTGGTTTGCTAGTAACTAATAATAACTGTCGTTACAACTGTGATTTATACTGTTGCTATCTCGTGGCTGCGCCAAAACAGGTTGTCAATTCAGCATGTTGTCAGGTTTGTGGGACCTGACGCTGATTTTCAATTGACACCTATAGTTCTCTTGACAACTGACTATCGGCATAAAAATATAAGAGAAAAAAAACAAAAAAACAGAAACACATACTCGCAAAATTATTAAGAAACATAAATAATTAATACAATTTATCATCTATATCACATTCAATAAGACCACC